ATGTGGTGCTGGGGGATTGAACCGTGGTCCCTGTGCTTTGCCAAGCTTGTTCTAAGTAGGTGCTTTAGACCACTGAGCCATCTCACCAGCCCCATCTTTGTGATGTTTTAATAGTATGTGTTACTATTCTCATAATCTAACTGTCCTTTTTTCTCAGATTTGGGAGAAAGTCAATTGTCTCTTATTGCTCGCTGCAAATGGCCATCACTACCACCTATGCTGCTTTTGCTCCCACATTTGCTGTTTACTGCCTCATGCGCTTCTTGGCTGGGACTTGTACCTCGACCATCCTAACCAATAGTATGCTGCTCAGTAAGTCAGCACTCTAAATCTGAAACATTCTCTACGACTTACTTGTGACCACGAGATTCAATTGTATTCTCTTTCAGTCATGGAGTGGACAGCACAGAAATTCCAAGGCTCGGGAGTGATGCTAACAAGTGCTGCTTCTACTGCTGGATGCATACTTGTGCCAAGCTTTAGTTTTGCTTTTCAAAGCTGGCACACACTCCAGCTGGTATTCTCTATACCTCTCTTTTTCTTTTTTATATCCTCAAGGTATGATATATTTTTCTTCTGTTGTCTTATGTGATCCTGAAATTAGAATCTGCTATAAGCAGACCAGAAATGTATTTGGCTCTTGGTCTATATATGAAGATGTGTTGTCTGTGTACTATTTGAGAGCCAGAGAAACTATGACTGTCTGATAAAGTTGAAGACATTGACTAAAATTTACATTTGGATAACAAATATTTTTAAATTATATCCCCAAAGTTGCAAAAGATGTAATGAAGAGTATTCACTTTTGTGTGAAATTTCTATTTAACTGATAGTTCTGCATTTTGTTAACTAATGAAATAAAATAAAGCATGTCCCATTATATAAACATTACAGATAAACAAGAAATTATGTTTAGTTACATTTAAAGTATTGCATTAATGTAGCTATAACAAAAATTATGTTATTCAAATTTCAAATTTAATTATGCACATCATAATTATGTTTACTAAAATAAGCAACCTTGAAAACAAGAAATAGTAATGAATGCTCACTTGAATGTTGAGAAATTCTCTGGCTCTCCTTGCTAATACTACTTCATTGGTTGTGTGGGAGTAAAATTTTTCCAGAAATATTTTCATTCATGATGAAAGATAACCTTTGAGGGTTAATAGCTCGCAATGTCATTGGGGTTTATATATTTCCTTTGCAAAGAAATGTACACTGCAGATTTTTGAGGTTTTCATCTTGTAAATGAAATTTAAAAACAAATATTTTTCCTCCAAAAGTAATTAATAAATAAGCACAATTTCTCCAGGGTAATATTTTAGGCAGAATGACCTACATACATCATGTGTTCTGTGGACCTTCCTTTCCTGACAAAACAGTGCTGTTCTCTTGCCCAAAGCTGTTTCAGAAGAGAAGGTATTATTTGGTTAGAAATGACTCTTAGAGGCATGATATTTAGCTTCCTTCTGTGATCAGATTGCATCCCAGCTGCAGGAATAAAAGTGGTTCTAATATGTATGAGACATTTAGTGTAGAAAAATAATTTAGGTACCCTTATTCTAGAAAGATAACATGTTATGAACAAGTATTCTCCATGCCCTTAGAAGGAATTTTGCAAAGGTCTGTACAAGTAAATGTCCTTCATGCTCCAGCTATATGAATTCTGCAGCAATATTATGTCTAATAAAAGGAAGCCTAATATGTCTCTACATCTGCATTCTTGGCATTGAAATGGTACAAGACCTCAAAACATTATATTTCTCTGTATGACTGGACACTTGGTAGGAGTTAGACTGAAGAAGGAAGCCACACCAGGATAAAGGGGATGTGGAAAATGACCACATGAGAGTTAGTTACACTTGGTTTGTCTTTTTTAATCAGGTGGTTGTCAGAGTCTGCTCGGTGGCTGATTATTACCAACAAACCTAAAGCAGCCCTAAAGGAACTTAGAAAAGCTGCACACATTAATGGAAGGAAGAATGTTAGAGATACCCTGACTATAGAGGTGAGTGGAATAGGAGCTGGTTACAAGACATAGGGAAAATATGATCTAATGTATGTATTTGTTTCTCTTGAAAAATGCAATATCCTTTACAAGACTGGACACAGATATTTTATTCATGAAAAGTATTAACTTTTTTCTTTGTTTTTCTTCTTTAATTTAACAAATAACTTCCTCCAAATGATTTTATTCTTTTTTCAAGGTAGGAATCATCCTACTTTCTTATCCTCTTTTCTCTAGGTTTCACACCATATTATGGAAAATATATGATATTTGTCTTTTTGAGATTCATTTCTGTCACTTAATATATTTATTTATTTATTTATTTGTGTGTGTGTGTGTGTGTGTGTGTGTGTGTGTGTG